TTCACATGATTTTTTTTTTATTTTTCTCCCCATTTCTTTATTAAATTGCAACCGACTCTCAAATATATCGACCAAAATACTAAATATTTAAAATCTATGGATGGGAAGCTATAAATTTGAAAATATAAACTTTTTCGAAGGAAGATCGTAAACTTTTATTTCTAATTTGTGTTATGAAAAATTATGATTCCGACCCATCATGTTACTGCAACTATTTTCTTATCATGGCCGACAGTTTTTATAAGCGTGGGCAACTTTGTCGATGAAGGGCTTTCACCGTCATCGACAAAACCTAGTTAATTACGTTGATGTTAAAATGTTTAAGGCGTTATATGAATAATTTGGTGACCCTGAGGAATATAATATTAATGGGATGATCCACTAAGATTCTAAATGATTCTCTTCAAAAGATTAAGCAAACTCGAGTTCGTATGAGAGCATAAATAGACCTGACCCATAACAGGTGGAAAATTCTCCAATTTAATTGGAGATAAGAGAATTTTTTTTATTCATTTAAGCAACGAGGGACCAAAAATGTATTTCCAGCTTCGGTTTTGTCTTCATTTCTACCCTCGTGGAATATTTAATACATTCATAGATATTTTCATAAAATCAATGACCCAAAAGAGAATTATATTCAGAGCCTCAATTCTTTAAGATCGTAGAATGGAATGCGAGGATTCTCAACACTCTCTCGTGTTTTTAATGCCTCAAATTTTGACTCATAAAAGGTTGGAAATATTTGATATGTTTATAATTCTCAGCCCTTTATCGTGTTTCTAATGTTTCGAATTCTTCACCGATACTAACTACTATCGTTTTCATATCCTATCAGCTAATCACGTAATGAATTATATTGTGATGGGTCCGTTTTGCGTTCAATAATTGAATGACGGTGACTAAATAATAAAGGGATTTAATAATATGAAAAGAAGTTAATTGGATAATAAGAAAAGCAAAATCATGAACCATTCCCCAAATATAGCTTACAATTTGTCTTGTCCATTTGTTAAATGTGTGACCTAAAAATAATAATAATAATATAAAAAAAAAAGAAATAAATTAGGTCAAAAAATGGTGGAAAAATGGAGGGGCAAAATGGGGATTTCGGAAGGAATTGACGGAACAAGCGGCAGAAGTGGGGGCGAGTTCACGTGTAAATCACATGGGAGGTGAGCCTCGTACGGGCTGCGGAAGAAGCGTGGGGAAGCAAGGGGGAGTGGGTCCCACGTGTGGGGTAATTTGTCGGGTAGTGAGGAAAATTAAAAAAATAAAAAATAAATGAGGAGAGAGAAAATAATTGATGAGAGGGAGGGGACACGTGGGACAGCTAGCACGCACTAGTGGGGACACCTTAATCATAATCCAACATCTTGTCGGGTTTTTAATTTTTAAAAATTTTTCGCTTAAATTATTTTTATTCAATCATTAATTTTTTTTTATTAATTCAAAATAATATATAAATAAATTCCTTTATTGCTTGGTCATTGATAGTTATCTAAACACTTGAATTGCTACTATCATTACACCTAAGAAGATTTTTGCTCCTTTCTTCTCTCACTCGCTCCAATGGAGCGTTTCCTACACGCACATCCCTATTTGAAAGATTTAACATTTTAGGGGAAACTTTTTTATTTATATAAAATTTGAAGTTTATCAAATTAGACTATGATTTACGATGATACACGAATAAACTATTGAATAATTAATTCAACCGAACTTCTAGCTCTCTTTAATGCTCCCCACCAATATTCAAATGTAGGTAACGATATCTTGAGTTATAGCCTTGAACCTCTTACCCATCATGTCTTGAATGATATTAGCTAAAAACATTCGTTGACACTGAGAACTACGATCCAAGTTACTATAGATTTATCATAATTGATAATTTGATTACATTAACGTTTTGGAAAATTACTGTATTGTCTTTAGGTTAAAACAATAAAAATTTCCTTCCACCCTCGTTCTGTCATCTTTTTTACTCTTTTCAAAACAAAGTACTAACCATTTTTATGAGAAAAATTAACGACACACCATTATTTTTATTAATGGTAAAAATTCATTATTTATTTTTACTAATTTAAAATGAGTAAGAAAAAAAGACAAAGGAATAGGCGCGTGAGTAGACGCGGGTAGGGGAAAGAAGTTGGAAGGAGGGGGGGTAAGATTGTGATAATAAATAATATAATATATAGTTCAAATGATTGAGGAGGAAGGGAGTGTCGGGAGCTGGAGCGACAAGGTGACATGGCGCCACCACTTCCCAATTCTCGCGCGTGGGACCCAGTTCCCTGTAAAAATTATTAAAAAAAAAAGAAAACGTATAGGGACCGCACGTGCCACATGTTGGTACCCCACGTGACTTTCCTTAAAATCCCGCATTCCTTAACCCCCTTCCCACGTGAACGCCACCTCCCTTTGTCCCCTTTCTCTCTCCTCTCTCTACCCCCCAACATTCTGACCCATTTCTCCTTTATTATTTTCTTTTTTTCTTTTTTTTTCTTTTTTATATATAATTTCTAATTTGGTTCCATGAATCATATTCTAATAAATGATAATCCAATCATTGTTGTCTCCTCACATTATTATTTCCTTTTTTCTATCCAAAATTTCTCCTTATTTTTCTTGATTTTTAAAAATACTTTAGTCATTTTTTTTAATATTAGCTGAACAACTTGATGCACTATCTCCCTTCAACCCTTTGAGCGTAATGATATAAAAGGAAAGGAAATCCATGGGCCGACCCCATTGTCTCTACCCTGTAGGAACTATGAAATCACTCCAAGAACAACTTCCATATCCAGAAGTCGCAGACCGACCAAAAAATCTTGTTCAATAAGTGAACACATTAGTTGTCCGCTATCTAGTTAAACCGTAAGTGTCGAAAAATGACAATTACTCTTTTTTTCTTTGTTAAAGATAATTATAGAAAAATCAATTCGATTTAAAATATATTTTTTAGAACCATCTATAATTAATAATTAGAGAAATATTAGTCAAACTCAAATATATAAATATATTTTTTTTTGGGAAATAAAGAAATAAAGTTTAAAATTATATATAAAAAAAGAATAATAATTAAATTGAATAATAGGGTAGCATGTCTTGAGATTTAGAGGACGACCATAGGATGCTGTCGGCTCACCACCTTTGAAGTTCCACGCTTACAATAATTAGTTTCATTTTTTTTTTATTATTATTATTTTTTTACTTTTCTTTTTTTTCAATTCTTCAATTATTTTGCGTTAAAATATATTTTAATTTCTATACTTTTATTTATATTTCTTTTAACTATTTCATAAAAAATATATAAATTCATTTTTATTATTGTCATTATTATTTAACATAAATAGTCTCAATATTTTTTAAAAAAATGAAAGAATATAAGAAAAAGAAGGAGAGTGAGAAACACGCGCGTGAAAGCGAGTGGAGTGAGAGAAGGGTATGGGTGGTGAATATGAGGTTAGTAACGAGAAAAAAAGGAGAGGAAAAGTGATTCTTTTATCTGAAATCTTTTTCTCAACTAATAAAAAAAAATAAAAAAAAGTAATTTTAGAAAAAAAAAAAAGAAAAAAAAGAAAGATAAGTGGGCCCCACAAGGGAGACTGAATGAATGAAATGAAAAGGTTAAGTGTCTGATTCCAATCATAGCCATTCACTCAGGATTTGATGGTTGTCTCAGCTTCGCTGTTTACTGGGCCCCACTCCCCTTCCTTTTAATCTCAGCCGTTGCTCTCATCTCTTCCTTTTTCAACGGCCCACATTTAATCTCTATTATTATTATTATTTTTAAAGTCATTTCTATCAAAAATATATTTTTTTAAAATTAATATTTTTAAGTATGGACTAATTATCCTTTATTTTAATTTTTTTGTGATGATAGAAAATTAGAAAAATAAATAAATAAATAAATAAATAAAGTTAATATAGGAAAGGGAGGCTTTTTATCGCACTCATGAAAAGAACCAAAAGTAAAGAAGCCAAAGACATGATACCCAAAGGGAAGAGGGTAAAGGCAAAAAGTGAAAAAGTTAGTAAAAGAAAAAAGAAAGTGACTTTAACCATGGTTAAAAACCCAATCCATCCATTCCAACCCTAGTTAAAAAAACATTACAAATCTCTTTCTAACCCTTACACTTTCCCTTATTTAAATTTAACCCCTCGTAGTACATCCCAACAATTTTAAAAATATCATTTCAGTCCTTATACTTTCTGTTATTTAAAATTAATCACTATGTAACTATCATCTAAGCTCACTGCTCGTACATGTTGTCATTTTTTGCTTTCTATCATCGGTTTTCTCTCCATGTTTAAAAATGTGTCTATTAGGAAGATGTTTTCACACCCTTATAAAGAATATTTCGTTTTTCTCCCCAATCGACATAGGATCTCACGTATCATCTAAACCCTTAGAATCCAAGCTCGCTGCTAGTAGATCTTGTCTCTTTGACTTTCTTTATGGGTTTTCTCTCTAAGTTTAAAACGCCCTCACATATCATCTAAATCCTTAGTATTCAAGCTCAATGCTAGTAAATGTTGTCTATTTGACTCGTCTTTATGGGTTTTCTCTCCAAGTTGAAAACGTCTCTTTGACTTTCCCTTATGGGTTTTACATCGAGATTTTAAAAAGCATCTATTAGGGACAGGTTTTCACACCCTTGTAAAGAATATATGTTCTCCTCTCCAACCAACCAACGAACGTGAGATCTCACGTATCCTCTTTTCTCTCTCGAGATGGACTAATTTTATAATTTAGACATTTAAAAGTATGGAAAAATATATTTTTTTATTGGGAAAAAAAGGGAAGAAGAAAAAAAAGTTGGAGGGGCATATTTTGGAGAAGCAAAAGTGATGATTGGGGATAATTGGAGGGCCTTTCCTCTGACACTCATTCACTTGTTTGCTTTCATTTCATCATTAATTTTAAGAAACAAATTCCCAATTCCCCAATTTCTTCTCTTTCTTTCTTTCTTTCTTTTCTATATAATCCTTTCTTCTCCCCTTCTACTTGGACCACACCTCACTCATCCTTCTTCTTCTTCTTCTCTCTCTTACCCTGTTTCTTCTCTCTCTACAAATTCAAGAAATTTGCAGAGCTATGATGGCCGGGAAGGACGATGGGCTTGGTTTGAGCCTTGGGTTGAGCTTAGAGTCCCAACCCCACCGCCATTTGCAGCTCAATCTCATGCCGTCTTGGACTAATGATGCCTCCTCTGGTTCGAATCTCTTGACCCGAACAGAGTAGAACAGAGTTGATGTTGTTTTCTTTGGGCTTTTTTTTAAATTTTGGAATTTGGGTTTTGCAGATCGGACTTCGGAAACTGGGCGATCGCTGCTCCGGGGTATTGATGTGAACCGGATTCCGCCGTCGATGGCGGATTGTGAGGAGGAGGCGGCGATGTCGAGTCCGAATAGTACGGTGTCGAGTGTGAGTGGGAAACGGAGTGAACGGGAAACGAACGGCGAGGATCTCGACGGCGATAGAGATTGTTTCAGAGGAATTAGCGATGAAGAAGACGGCGAAACTTCTAGAAAAAAGCTTCGGCTTACTAAAGATCAGTCCGCCGTCTTGGAAGATAGCTTCAAAGAACACAACACTCTCAATCCTGTAAGTCTTGTCTCAAACCCGACCCGACCCGATTCGTTGATGAAATTTTCTCGGGAACCAAACAGAAAATTTATGAGGGTATTTTCGTAATTTTATACAGAAGCAAAAGTTGGCTCTGGCGAAACAGTTAGGTCTCCGGCCGAGACAAGTTGAAGTATGGTTCCAAAACAGAAGGGCAAGGTGAGGAAATTTCCTTCATTCACAAGGGCATTTTCGTCATAATAACAAATTAAATCCTTTTTCCCTTTGACCTCATAATTTCAAATTTTTATTTTATTTAATGAATATATTTTCAGGTATTTATTTATGAAAAATAATCCTTAAAATTTTAAAAATTAGAATGTAAATTACCAATTTAAGCATAAATCAGATCATAAATATACCTATTGGATCGATATATTTATATATAAATTAAAAAATTAGAAATTTAAATACTTTTTTTAATTGATTTAAACATAGATTTAATATATAAATAAATGAGAAATTAGTTGTTAATATATTTATAATTATTTATAAATACAGGACAAAATTGAAGCAAACGGAGGTTGATTGCGAGTTTCTAAAGAGATGCTGTGAGAATCTGACGGACGAGAATAGGCGGTTGCAAAAAGAAGTACAGGAACTGAGAGCACTGAAACTTTCCCCACAATTCTACATGCACATGACCCCACCCACCACCCTTACCATGTGCCCATCATGCGAGCGTGTCGCGGTCCCAACCTCCACGTCAGCCCCCACTACAGTGACACGAGTGGGCCAAGCCCAAGCCCAGCCCCACCACGCTCGGCCCATCCACCTCAACCCGTGGGCCTCCGCCATCCCGGCCCGGCCATTCAACGCCCTACACCCTCGCTCGTAAATACCCTCCCCACCGACGAGGGCAATTCCGAGTTTTCGCTATCTTAGGATACGGTTGTTGGGCCGGGATTTGGTGGGCCTCTGTGTTTTGTAATGTTCGGCCCATCTTGTCATAATTAGTGTTGAGTAGTTTATTTATTTATCTTAGGGCTAAATACTTTTTTTTTTTTTTTTTTTTTTTTTTTTTTTTTTTTTTTTTTTTTTTTTTTTTTTTTTTTTTTTTTTTTTT